AGCTGGATTATGAGGACCAGGTTACCTACACACTGGCCATTACAGCAAAAGATAATGGGATCCCCCAAAAAGCAGACACAACCTATGTGGAAATCATGGTGAATGATGTCAATGATAATGCCCCTCAGTTTGTGAGTGCTCACTACCAAGGTGTCATCTCAGAGGACAGCCCTCCCTTCACAAGTGTGCTTCAGATCTCTGCCACCGACAGGGATGCCCATGCCAATGGACGGGTGCAGTACACGTTCCAGAATGGAGAGGATGGGGATGGGGATTTCATTATCGAGCCCACCTCTGGGATTATTCGAACCATCCGCAGGTTGGACCGAGAAAGCATTCCTGTTTACGAACTTACTGCCTATGCTGTGGACAGGGGAATGCCCTCCCAAAGAACCCCTGTCCGTATTCAAGTGTCGGTGCAAGATATTAATGACAATGCTCCGGTCTTTCCAGCCGAGGAGTTTGAAATCTTTGTGAAGGAAAACAGCATTGTGGGCTCTGTGGTGGCCCAGATCACAGCCCTGGATCCAGATGAAGGACCCAATGCCCAGATTATGTACCAAATTGTGGAAGGCAATATCCCTGAAATCTTCCAGATGGACATATTTTCGGGTGAGCTCACTGCCCTCATTGATTTGGATTATGAGACCAAGCCCGAGTTTGTCATTGTGGTTCATGCCACTTCTGCCCCTCTTGTCAGCAGAGCTACAGTCCACATCAAACTCATTGACCAGAATGATAACAGTCCCATTCTGAAAAATTTCCAGATCCTCTTTAACAATTATATCTCCAACAAATCCAACACCTTTCCTTCCGGTGTAATAGGGAAGATCCCTGCCTATGACCCAGATGTGTCTGACAGACTGTTTTACACCTTTGAACGGGGAAATGAGCTGCACTTGTTAATTGTCAATCAGACTAGTGGGGAACTCAGACTGAGCCGTAAACTGGACAACAATCGTCCCTTGGTGGCCTCCATGTTGGTGACTGTCACAGGTAAAGATGATTTTTATTTTTTCAATATATTGTATCGAAGTTGGTTTTCCTTGAATTATAAAAATTAAACAGCTTGTTTGCTTTTGCTAAATCTATGGAAGCCAGAGATAGGAGAAAGCAAGTAAAGCGACTTCGATGATTATGTTAGCAGATCTTTTATTTATTTTTTCCTAGTTTCCTTTAGGGTGTAATAGTTCAGTGGGCACCAAAAAGCAAGATTTGATTGCTTCCTGTTATCTCATGGCAGACTCATTTCATAATATATTAGACAAAGCCAGGTTCCTGCCCTGAAGAGTTTTCAGTCTAAATTAGATTAAAGTGCATACAAAGGAAGGGAGAAAGGATGTAAATTGATAAGTTAAACCTGCCTGCTGCACAGAGAATGGAGATGCTTCCTGCTTCATTTCTCTGTTTCTTTTCATGCAGTAGCAATATAGTTAAACCAAATATGGACACTTGGAAAGTTATAATGATCCTCTGTGGCTTTTGAGCTAGAGAGGAAGCATAAGTTAGCAACAAGTGATGAAACTGGGAGTTTGACTGCAGCTTTCTCTGCCTACAAGATAATTGGAACTTGGGAAAAGGCAAAAATAATTACTCTGAGGGGGGAAAAAAGTATTAACGTGTTTTTGAACTAAAATTGCCATTTTGGATTATGTTTTCCTATTTTGCCACTGGATTAGCCAGTAACATGAAGGTGATCAGAGTTTCATATGGATATCAGGCAGATAGATATAATTAAATATTCTTTGTCTGGATGGGAAGAAGCCTTGATGTAGATTTGAAACCTTGCAATTTGTTCTTAGATGTTATGTTCTCTCTCTCTCTCTCTCTCTCTCTCTCTCTCACACACACACACACACACACACACACGCACGCACACACGCACACACACACCCAGACCTGAATTATTTGGGTGGCATGAAAGGATTTATCAATTTAAAACCATTTACGACCTGCCTTTTCTCTTCAAGGCAATTAATGCAATGTATTCCCACGATCATATTCTGCACATTTATTGCCACTTATTCAATGTGTTTGGGAGTTTGGCTGAACAGTTCTGAGCTTAATGCATTGCATTAAATTCCTTAAATAGAAAGGCTCAGCCCCCAAACATAAATTCATAATGAAGATAATGTCTCAACTTGGACAGTCTCTTCTCCCTAAGGAGCAAAGATTCACAGAACATAACTTCTAGGCACATTTATAACTCCAGTGCATTTCCTTCTAAAAATGAAGTGCTGGATATATCTGCCAAATATATCTAAAGCTTCTGTATCAGGTGCATTTTTCAAAAGCCATTGTCTTTCATTTTATCTTATCTTCCCAAAAAAAGCAAGATAATTTGGTTAGCCCCCCCCCCCCGATAATTGAATGGATTCAGCCAGCAAGCCAAATGCTTGAATTATCACTCCTCTTTACTGCAAGAAGGAAACAGTTTCCACCATTAGGTTTCTTAGCAGATTTAGCCCAGGCCTCAACTATCTCATAAGCAAGGTTTGGCTTCTTGCTTAGATTTCATTGAACTAGCCCTCTGTCATTAAATAACGTGATGAGTCTGATTACCATGTCATGTCAATATTTATGTCTTGACTATAATTTTTTCTTTGTCCTCTCTGCTTACTCTCATTATTCATCTGATTCTATTTCACGTTACATGCAAAATAATCATTTGTTGGTTTGCCTTATCCATTTTTTCCAAAATCTATTTAGAAAATAGATTTACATGCCACTTCTTGTAAATACCGACAAATTATCGGGGGGGGGGAGGGAATGTTGTTAGAACTTTATATTATCTTTACAAGATACGAGCACTGCATTTATGTAAATACATATATCTCTATAAAATAGCTGTTACAACCATTTCTTACATTAAGTCGGAAGGGTTTACACCAATAGCCAAATGCAGTCAAGGAAAATATATACAAGACCAAGAATAGGATTCTAATAGCCTGAGGTCTTCCAGTTCTTTCCTATAAGGCCACCACTCCAAGATGTAGAGCAGGGGGGTGTCAAATTGCCGGGCCATAGGCTGATTGCATCATACAGAGGCCGTGCCCACCCCAGCTCCAGCAACGCAAAACAAGTCACAATACGTCGCGACACGTCACATGACGTGGCGAGTTTGACACCCGTGATGTAAAGAACTCATATCCTGCTTCCCTTCCAGAAGGCTATCAAGACCTAGCTTTTTCTTTAAGCATTGGGCTAGGATGGAGGATGAGACCAGCATTTGCATTCTTCAGGTAGCCTAATAGTATGTAAGAGTTTAAATGCTGTTGCATTTTTAATTGGCATGCTCGGTTGTTAGCCGGTTTGAGATGTTTTATAGAATGCGGGTGGAAATGTCACTTTAAAAAAAAAAGTTTTAAAACTTATCCCTAATGATGCTTAAAAAAAATAAAACAAAATCCTAGGGTGACTTAAAGAAAGCATGTGCAAGGAGGTCCTCTAGAAGGAGAAAGAGGAGAGAAGGTTGCCTCTATATCTCACAGCCTTAGTTACCCAGCTGTGTCTAGGGAGTCTTGCATTATTCATGGCCATCTCCACATCCTAGTTAACTGCCTCCTTTTTCTTCCTGCCATGAGATTATTAGGGGGAAATGGCTGGGGAAAGGCAAGCCCCATTTCCTTCCGAAGATAGGAGTAGGCCAGGCTGACATGTACAGGGTAGCCAACTCTGGCTCAATGCGTGATTAAGGTTCCTCAGGGGTTAATTGTAACTGCAGGGTAGTGCAATATTATATTCATGCCCTGAGAGGGAGGGGGGAGGAGGGATGGGCGTGCAGGCTGATGATTGGAGAACCACACTGACCTTTCCTGGAGTCTGCCAGGGTGCACTCAAGTAAACTCAACCTCTGAATCCACTTAAAGCCTTGCACAAAGGCGGGAAGAAATCACATTTTCAGGCTTCGCATTACATTCACTCAGAACAACACAGCTCTTGGAATGAGGATGTTATCATTTTTTCCAGTGGGAAAATGAGGAAAGAAAAGCTTAAGCTCGGGAAGGCAAAAGGCATGTAAGAGAATTAGGCAAAGAAACCACCCCTCAGGCTATGAATAGGGGAGGGGCAGGGAAGGGAGGGGCAGCCCTGTGCCTCTGGTTGAATTTGATAGTTATTCAGGGTGATTTTGGCCCTTCCGTTGGAGAACAACCAATTTCTTGCAGATTTTACATCTTATTATTGCTATGTTTTAATTCAGTTTGGCCTATGGAACAGCTTCTGTTCTAATTTGATACAGTGGAAACCAGGACCAACCTGATGGTTGAAATCAATGAACAATTAGTCAGGTCTAGAGAGAAAGGAAAGGGGGGTAGTTTGTGAAATGGATGGAAATCTTAGCCTTACTGCATTACTCAATTATGCATGACAGATTGTAATAGAAATGCATTTGTTTTCTTGTAAAACAGGATACAGTCAATTTTTTGTTTTCTTTTAAAAAGCAATACTGATATGAGAATGTAGGTAGGTTTCATTCCAGTGAATGGATTTTTTTTATCCCTTCATTAATTCTAGCCTCTGGGCATGCTTTGGACATATGGCATCAATTTCACCCTGGTACCCAACTAGAATTACCATGGTTAGCAGCTAATATGGATATCGATCTATTTCAAAAGAGTGATATCAATTAAGTTCCACTCTGCTTTTGATGTCATCTATCTATCTGGGTCAAGTAAAGCTGGAAGGCTAGTTCTGATTCTTGGGCGAAATCCAGTTCTTGTTTACTGTAACTAATGCAGCTACTATGTAAGATGTGAAGTAACTCTTGTTTCATTTGCATCCACCTGGCTTTGGCAGATATCTCTCTGTTGTTGTTAGTTGCGAAGTCGTGTCTGACCCATCGCAACCCCATGGACAACGTTCCTCCAGGCCTTCCTGTCCTCTACCATCTTCTGGAGTCCCTTTAAGCTCACGCCTACTGCTTCAGGATTCCATCCAGCTATCTCATTCTCTGTCATCCCCTTCTTCTATTGCCCTCGATCTTTCCTAGCATTAGGCTCTTCTCCAGTGAGTCCTTCCTTCTCATTAGGTGGCCAAAGTATTTGAGTTTCAGCTTCAGAATCTGGCCTTCTAAAGAGCAGTCAGAGTTGATCTCCTATAGGACTGTAGTGATTAAGAAAATTGCTGGAGGAGCCTATGCCCTAAGGCTCAAACTTGTAGTTCCAGATAAATCTTCCCAGCAGAGATTTTTGATATCTTAAAAACTATTGAATATTCTGCAATGCAGAATTTATATTTACATATACATACAAATAAACTTCTGTGTAGATGGAAGATTCATGTTAAGTGTTAAAAGTGCGGGAAATAATCATAATGGAGAAAACAGAAACAGAAACAATTAAAAGTAAATATGGTTTTTAAATTACAGTGATCATTCACCATTAATACATTTCCAAGCCCTAATAGTTAATATATGTGAGGGGATTAAAATATTTTTACTTGGTTCAAATGATGTATTGCAACTTTTTAGTAAGTATAAATTCAAGCAGGTTTTTGCTAGATTCAAAATTCCTTTGAAAGGCGTAGCTGCTTTAAGTTCATTGATTGACTACCCTGAATGTTGCCATTTCTGATGTCAGAATTATGTACAATTATTGTTTTGCATTGAGAATGCTGTTTATTTCTCCTGTGTAGAACGATGAAGGGCACAAATAGCAATTCTGTAGTATAATAGTTAAGGAGTTGAACTGATACTAGAGAGAGACCTAGGTTCAAATTTACTCTCAGCCAAGGAAGTCACCAGGAGACTTTGAGGCAGTTTCTCTCTCTCAACCCAACTTACTCCCAGGGAAGAAAATGAAAGAGGGAATGTTATGTGTGCTACCTTGAGCTCCTGAACAATAGACAGGGCATATATTTAAGAAATAAATAAATTGATAACATATAACTTATTGAAAGATGAATGCTTGATATTGTGGCTGAGCTTTTTGAATCCTTTAATGGTTGAGGAGAGGTTGGGATAGAGTTGATTTCTGGGCCTGTTACCAAGTTCATGTCCTCTTTTGATAACTTCAGTGTCATCCCTTGTTCTCAATTCTGAGCAGCATCTTCAGATTGGGGAGCTGTCTGAAAAATAAAGTAGGCAGCCCAATCAAGGCTTGTGACAGGGAAGTAACTCTTACTAAGATCATCAATGACATGTAGGAATGTATTATTTTCCCTGGGGATTTTAGATGACAAGAAGTAGTGTTTGTCCCTTTTTCCTATAACCATTCTATAAAAGATTACTCATGGGGACTTCCGGTGGATTTTGCGCGCGCGATGGCGGCTACTTTGTAGCCGTCCTCCTGGGTAAGTGTAAGAACCGCTATGAACAGCAGACATCAGCTGTTCAGCGGTTCAAAATCCCCCTCCCGGGCAAAGGGGGGGGGTAGAGAGTGTCTGAATAGTGGTAGAGCCTCTTTTGCACCCCCCAAGTTTTTTTTGGGGGGGGTGAAAGGAGTGCTCCCACGGAGTTCAGACTTGTCTCCACTTCCCAGCTGTTTTTGTCCTCAGGGACAAAACGAGCCGCTGCAAACACCTCCGTGCTTAAAGAGAACTGGTGAGTTTTTTTTTTATAAACGGACAGAGCTGAGTAGAGGATTTAGTTTTTGCTTTCTTTGACTTATTTGGATTTTAAGTTTTAAGACTTGTTTCTATTTTTATTCTCTCTTTTTATTTTTTTTTTCTTTGTTGAAAGGGAAAGTAAAATGGCGATCGGCAAATCTCTCGTTGTTTTTTTTTTGGAAGTTAGAATGCTGACCGGCAGGCTTTTTGGTGTTTCTCTTTCTTTCCTTTCCCTTTCCCTTTTTATTTTCTTATGATTGGAATGGTTGTTTTTGGTATCTCTAAGTATTTTTTTGGAACGGACTTTTTCTATTTAATTATTTTTTTTTCTTCTCCCTTTTTTTTTCTTTTCTTTGAACTCCCTTCTTTTTATTGTAATGACCCTTTTTTGAAGGACTTTTTTCTGTTTAATTTTTGCAATTTTTAAGAAGGAGTAAAGCTTTTTTTTAATTCCTTTTCTCTTCTTTTTTTTCCCTTTTTTCTTTTTATTATAATGACCTTCTTTGGAGGGAGTTATGATTTTTGAAGGAATTTTTATAATTTTTTAAGAAGGACTAAAGGTTTTTCTTTAAGATGGCTCCAAAGCGTCCAGGGATTTCTACAGCTTCTAAATCAACAGTTTCACCCTCTTCTGGGGGTCAGCTAATAACTATGAAGGATTTGCAAGATATGATGGGAGATGTTATAATTCAAATTAGGGCAGAAATGAAAAAGATTTTAGAGGAAAATAATAAGATCTTGAGACAAGATTTTGTTTTGGCTTTAGAAGGAGTTGCTTCTGTTCTTGAAAAGGTGAACTCCCATGTGGAAGAGGTAGCTGAAAAAGTGGACATAATGGAGGGGAAAATTGAAAGTATGGAAAAAGAAATGGAAAATGAGATTCTTATGCTTCAATATGGACAAATGGAATATGCCTTAAGAATTAGGGGCCTGGGAGAGTCTTTGCAAGGAGATCTGAAAGAGATGGTTGCAAAGGACTTTGCATTGATTTTGAATAAAGAAAAAGAGGGAATACTTAGTGAAATTGAAAAATTATTTAGGGTTAACTCTGTGGTGGCAGCACAGAAGAATCTGCCAAGAGATGTGGTAATTTACTTTGGTAAAAGATCTTTACGCAATGAAATTGTGCAAGCCTATTATAAGAAGAGATTTCAAATTGCTTCACAAGATGTTATAATTTTTAAGGAGATCCCATCTAAAATTTTAAGAAGAAGAAAGGAGTTTGCTTTTCTAGCAAATGAACTTAAAAAGAGAAAAAATTTATTTAGATGGGATGTTCCGACTGGAATGGTGGTGAACTACCTGGGGACATGTTATAGACTTAATACTGTTTCTCAAGCAAAAGATTTTTATACTTTGGTCCTGGGGGTATGTGCATCGCCATCTATTAAGTTTAAAGCTTTGGAAGAAAAGAATGTAGAATTACAGTTTGAAGAGCCTATATTTATGAAAACTGGCGAATCTTTGTGTGAGAGGCCTCAACAAGTCCAGGTTGAGGAGCAGAAGACAACTTGTGCAGCATACAATTCCAAAGAAAAGCAGCAACAGAAGAAGGTTAAGGAAGTTTCATATTCAGTGGTCTCTGAATCTCTGGGAGATGTTAGACCTACAAAGTCTTTGGAGCAATCTTCAAGGGTGGAATTGCTGCCTGAAATGGAAATTGGGAAATCTCAGTTTGAGGGGCATCAACAAGAGAGGAACGGGCAGAGGATAACTTGTACAACTTACAATTGTAAAGACCAACACAAGGAGGAATTCAAGGAACCCTTACCTGTATTGGCTTCGGAGTCGATGGGAGATTCAGGAATTTTGGAGCAGTCTCCTAAGGCAGAACTTGCAGCATTTCTTACGAGTTTGATACAAGAATGGAGAATGGAAATGGAAGAATGGAAGAATGGAGAATGGAAAAAACTGGAATGTGAATAATTAATAATAATACTAATATAATTGAGACTGATAAGGATGCAGTTTCTTACGGATGGAATTTGTTATTGGTGAAGATTGAAATGTTTAATGTGTTTATTATGGATAGGCGTATAAGGGAATCTTGTTGTTTTAAGTTTTGAATCTTTAATGATAATATTGTTTAAATTTGTGTTTTGAAGGGATTATAATTTGCTCATTTTACTGAGGGGATTCTAATGTTTTAAATTTTAAGTAATGTTTAAATTTGTGTTTTGAAGGGAGTATAACTTGTTCAAGTTTTAAGTATGCTTAAATTTGGTTTTTAAATATTATTAATATTTTTAAGAGAAAATAATTTGTTTAATTAAATGTCTAGATTTGTTTAGGAAAGAAAGTAATGTTTAAATTTGTGTTTTTGGAGGGAGTTTATATAGAATGATGATTGTATTTAGATTTGTTTAGGATTTAAAAGTGTTTCTAGTTTTCAAATATTATTATTAATATTTTTAAGAGAAAATAATTTGTTTAATTAAATGTGCTTAGATTTGTTTAGGACTTATAGGTTTTTTAAGTTTTTTCTTTTTGGATAGGAGAGAAGATTATGAAGATTGAAGGAAATATGTATTTACTTTAAGTTTTTTAAGAGTATTTAGTTTTAATGGTATAACAAAGGTTTATATGTTTATTTTTTCGTTTTAGGATAAAGAAAGAGGGAGAAATTAGATTTTACACTATAGATATAGATATTCAAAGAAAGTAATGTTTAAATTTGTGTTTTTGGAGGGAGTTTATATAGAATGATGATTGTATTTAAATTTGTTTAGGTTTTAAAAGTGCTTTAAGGTTTTTTTTTTTGTTTTTTTTAAATTAAGCCTGTACTCAGCTCTGGGAAGTCCAGGGGAGAGTTTGGGAGGTTGGGAAGGGGGGGGGGTGAGGTAGGGTTGGGGGGGGTATGGGAAGGGGATTTGTTTTTGTAAAATTTAAAAAATTTTCAATAAAAAAAAAAGATTACTCATGGGTATTGATACTTCTTGTTGATCCATCCTTGGACATCCTTAGACATTGTAGGCCTTGGATGTGAAATCCTTCATTTGTAGGTCTCTGATGAGTCAGAAGAGATGCAGTTGTATCACAGGTTCTGACTAAGCACGTGGTGATTATTATGGTATATTCTGAATAGAAACCAGAAGCAAATAGTTGTAGGTTTCTGATTACAGGTGGTACTTATACTAGTTCCCGATCGCATAACAGTTACAATGCTTATCAGCTAGATCAGACATGTCAAACTCACAACGTCATGTGATGTCACACAACATATCTGAGCTTTTTCCCCATTGCTAGCAATGGGGTGGGCGCAGTTTTTTTGTGACGCATCTGGCCCATGGGCCGGCAGTTTGACACCCCTGAGCTAGATAGTTGGTCTAAAATTGAAATATATGTGTCAATAACACCTATAATCCAAAAATAAAAATACCTAATGATAAAGATGTCATTACTGCATGCCAAATAGAGGATAAGCTTTCTTTGGAAGTCAATATATGTTAATGTGAATAAATATTTTTCTAGTTTAGATATTGGTTCCAGCCATCTAGCAGGCAAATCATTCATATAGTCCTACATACAAAGGCTAGAAACTAGATGCTCATCTCCTAAGTGACTGTGGGCACTGAACAGTCCAGTGGATCACTTGAATAATTGCAAGCAATTCCAGCATGCAATCAGCATTCCTTTGCAACTAAAATTCTCCATTATAATAGGAAAATATCTCAGAGAGGGGCGATAATTTGCCATTTGAATTTCCATTTATTACAAAGCAGCTGACATTCTCTAAACATCATTAGGTAGTTAGATGCACCAGCATGTGCTTGCTTTCATGCCATCAAAAAAACCCATATGAATTATTTCGCTGGAATCAATCAAAATACATTAGGCCTGAATTCACCTTCTGCCAGGTATTTTTATAAAGAGATCCCATCTTTCAAATTTGCCGCCTTATAGGATGATCATAGCTCCAGATTGGTTATTTTCAGGGAGACCTACAAATTACATTTATTTAGGTTAATTAATTAATTAATTAATATCCTGCCTTCAATATTTTTACAAATAAGGCAGCAAACATATCCAAAATGCCTTCCTCCTCCTATTTTACCCACAACAACAACAACCCCCGTGAGTTGAGTTGGTCTTTGGTGGTGTTCCCAGATTGAATGTTTTAATCTCTGCTTTTAAGGTTTCAAGGGAAGCTGTACTTTAATTAATTAAATTAATATAACACATCATGAAAGCATCTATCCTCTAGAGTGCTTCCCTTCTAGAAGGTCCATATTAGGAGTCAATTAGGTGTTTAAGCTTGGCTAGAAATTCATGGTAATAGCACTCCTTTATCAAAAACAGAGTCATCTTTGGGGGGAAGTCCAGTGGTCCTGGGTGAACTATAATTTACCAGATTCAATATATGGAAATTTCGGTGACCCAAAACTAGAATTTCCCCAAATGACTGTTGCAAGAGCCATGGTGGTACAGTACTGGTCAGAATGCAGTACTGCAGGTTAATTGTGCTGACTGCCCACTGCCAGCAGTTCAAGTCTCACCGGCTCAAGGTTAACTCAGCCTTCCATCCTTCCGAGATCAGTAAAACGAGGACCCAGATTGTTGGGGGCAATAGGCTGACTCTGTAAAACCATTTAGAGAGAGTTGTAAAGGACTGTGAAGCAGCATATAAGTCTAAGTGCTATTGCTATTGCGTGTGAACTACAGGGAAAGGAACTCATTAGTACAGATATTTGTAAAAGATTAAATTTGGTCAACTTTTCTCTGCAATTATTTCTGAACGCATTAGGAAGGTTTGGCATATGACTGAATTTGTGCTGCATAAATACAATACAGATATAGATGTAGCCAGGGTTCATCAGTTGTCGAGGACATATTATTAGAGAGAGAAGTTATGGGAGAAGATCAGCCTCCTTGTAAGTAAGCCAACAGATCCTGATTGTAAGTGCCAGTGGACTCAGGTCTGGCTAAGCTAAAAGGCTGCTCTACCTAAAAGGCAGGTGTGGGGGGTTGGAGAAGAAGGTGGAGAAAGAAGGCAAATACCAGAGCATAATGACAAAGACAAACCTGCAGAGGAAACATTGGAAATTCCCCTATCACGCCCTGTATAAACAGATTCCCCACATGGCTATACTAGCTGGTTGGGACCCAGTTCATTTATCATGCACTGTACCATATTGTAAAACAGAGCTGTTCCTGTCCTGGGATTCCTTATGTGGGGAAAAGCGGGGCCAGTGTTTCAACAAGAAGGCATTCACTGTTTTGCTGAGGCTGGGGTATCTATTAAACGTAGAATTTATAGGGCTGGAAGGAACCTCAGAGGTCTTCTAGTCCAACCCAATGCTTAAGGCAGGAGACCTTATACCATCCAATCTATTTTTGAAGACGTCCAGGGATGGAGCACACATAATTCCAGGAGGCAAGCTATTCCATCGATCAATTGTTCTGCCAGAATTGAACTGAATTGAGTTTACTGGTGTGAAGTAGGATATCAAGCCTCAAATTATACTGACTGTTCTAATTTAGGTTTTAATTTTTTTCTCTTATGTACTCATGGTTTGGATTACTGGCATTCCAAAGAGACTATTTTGTTGTTAACCTCTGACCTTGAATCTTAAGGATCTGGGAAGAATAAACTTTAGCTGGTTTTCTACATCTTTAGTGTCAGGTATGTTTGTGTTACTCATGAGTTAGCTCCTCCCCTCTCTGACTACAAGGGTTTGTGCCACAGAGGGGTGAGATCTGGCAATGCCACTGTACAATACTGTCATCTACCCAGAGGCCTGCATTATATGAGGCCCTGTTCCCCTCCTGATAGGTAACTAGCGTTCTTATTTTTTATGTGTATATATTCTGAGACAGAAACTGGAAGAGCCTGGATGTGCCTTCCAGGTCAATCAATAGATATGCATATCCCAAGTGCCTCTTCCCAAACAGTTTTGGTCAGGATGCTGAACAGCAATATATTTCCAACTTGCTTTGCTAAAGCAAAATGAAAAAAGGCACCCAAAAGACCTCTATGCTATTCCCTGCATTTGCATTAAAGAAGTATGTGCCAGGTGGCTCACTCTAATCAATGACCAGAGGTTCATCTTGATGATTGGATTGGATTTTTTTAAATAACTGCCGCAGACACATCATGAAAACAGCTAAAATGGTAGTTGGGTACACATCTGATCCTACCCAGTTAGTGACATCATTTTTCAACCCGTGATGCAAGAGTTGACTAGAGATATCAGAGTGGAGAATAAGCTGGCTGTGTGGATCCTACACTATATGAACTATGTGATAAAAATGTTAGTTCTACAAGAAGAGATTCCTTCCTGGCCGAAACGCAGTAAAAGAGCCACAAAATAGACTCTAAACTGGACAGCCCACAAGCCTCAGAATGTTTGTCACTCTTAATATTCATAGTGGAAGGAATAAGCTAGTTGCAAGCTGACCCTTATGTGCCAAACCAACTGCTGCTATCACTTGAAAGCTACATGTGAGGAAATCTCCAGGCTACCAGAGAGCGTGAATATTCACCAGCTCCACCTCTCCATCAATTGCCAGGCACTGCACTTATTCAGAGTAGCTGATTAAAATTACTCCTGGGGAGGGGGGGGAGAGAGAGAGTTGATGCTTCCAGACAACGTGGGGCCTTTTGAATGTAGGTTGAAAGGTGGGGAGGGGAAAGGGTCATTCTCTTAACCATCTGCTGCCCTTTTACAGAACAGATTGCGAGTTACTTGTAAGGCTTGAGCTATTGCTTGGATTGCATTGCAAGTATTTAGATGATATCATAGATACTAAAAAACATTTTCAAGGAAAGGATCTCTCTCTCTCTCTCTCTCTCTTTCTCATAGGTCTGGCATTCAAATCAGTTATCTAAATAGAGAGGTGTAATTCTCACGGCACATTAGTTTTCAGAGGTAAGGAGGACTTTCCAGTCCCCAAATTCCAAAGAAATGTGTTCAGGTATACATGCCTGGCAAATTTATCCCCATTTCATAAGAGTATTTACAGCCAAGGTGACATAGGTTGTTCCGTATTAACCCCTTTCTCCTTATTGGAGGTCATTTGTTCACTTTATGAATTTGTCTAATTAGGGAAGAAACAATAAGGAATTTTTTTAAAAAGTAGTATTCTAGGTGGAGAAAAGGTAACTCTGACTATAATGGCCAATACTAAATGACAGAGAGATTTTGCTGAACAAAACACTTCTAGGTAAAGATTAGCTTTTGTGTTATGATACCCTCTTTTAAGGATACAAGTTCTTAAAAATATATTAATAAAGTTATGCTAATTCAACATAAAATGTAACTTCACTAGGCTTCTTCCAACAGTGAATCCTTGTTTTCCCTATTGGTGTAGGAAGGAATAATCCATTGGTGGGACAGTCTGAGACTTCTCTTGCTCTAACATAGCCTTTCCTTTACCATTTTAATTCTTCACTCAGCTGATGACAGAGAAATGATAGCCATTTAAATAGACTCTAATATAGAAAGAGCCATAGTTTGCAAGTCCAGTACACAATGACCCTTGAACACAATAGTGTATTTCAGTGGGAAACCTTTTTGGTGGATTGTGCCCTGTGAACCAAACTTTCTTATTTTGCTACCCCTAGTTGCAACCAAATGTCACTGTTAGTCACTTGATATTTTTAATAGGATAGTTTATTTGGCATGATATTACAAATCTCTAAGGGAAAAATATGTATTTTGCATTGTAATCAGCTTAAGAAATCACAGCTGTAGCAGTGCTCTTTTCTGTGGTTCATTAGCCAATATTCTTCAGTCAGCAATAACATCAAGGTGTTTGCTTCAAAAAAAAAAAAAAAACCTATGTAAATCTCAACTAGCCCAGTGCTGACTAGGAGACTTCTAGGAGACTTCTTAGAACCCCAAAAATATTCAGAACTGATAGCACTTTTTAATTAATGTTTAAAAACATTACCTCAAAATATCTCATTTCATCTGCTGTAGATAAAGTTTCTCCATCTATACTGACAATTCATTTAATATAAGAAAGAAAAAAGTAGGGATTGCAATGCCTTGGATGGCTTTGTGTGAGCCATTTGCCCTCATCAGGACTAGAAAAGTATGGGATCTTTTTAATATCCAAATCACTTGAAATTAAG